CTCGGAGCTGGGAGCGCGCGTCGAAGATGAGTTTGTCAGCGCCGACGAGGGCTATCAGGGCAGACCCTTTCCGCAGATGAGGCGACCCAGCTTCTTGGGGCCAGGCCCGGACACGGACAGCGAGGGCCCCGACGAGGCCTTCCGCAGGGACGGCTTCGACGCGCCCAGGCCGCCGCCGGCCGCACCGAGCAGCAGCGTCAGCGGCAGGCTGGGCGAGGCGGCGCTGCGGGGAGGCGAAGCGATCATAGCGGCAGGCGTCGCAGGAGTCGGACAGGCCGTGGAGCGCTTCGGCTTCCGCAACGCCGAGCGAACCGCTGCAGAAGGCGGCGAGCCCCTGGAGGCGGGCACTCAGACGGCCGAAGCAGGAGTCGCAGAGGCGGCGGGCGGCGGCGTCCTGGAAGGGCTGGCGGCGGCGGGCGGGGCAGCTGCAGAGGGCGCGGGCGCAGCAGCAGCAGCAGCCTTCCCGATCGCCGAGGGGCTGGGCGTGGCAGCAGGCGTGGCCACGGGAGGCGCGGCAGCTCTCGCAGGCGGCGCCGCTTACGGCCTGTACCGAGGAGGGCGCTGGCTGAACGGCGGAGACGCTGCCTCGAGCTCAGGCGGCGAGTTCCAAGATTTGCGAACACTGAACGGCGTGCAGCAGGGCACGCCGCAGGAGCGCTTCAGCGTGCGCCAGCCTCGAGTGCAGCAGCCCATGGTCTCGCGCCTGAACAGCAGCGAGGACGATGCGCCCATGGCTTCAGGTTTGAACCTAGTGGCTCAGACGAGCAGCGGCAGCGAGAGCTACGGCCCCGTTCGGAGGCCGCGCCCGCAGCGGGTCGAGCCGTCCTTCAACGAACTGCGGCGGGAGGCGCTGGCCCGCGAGCCCGAAGCCGCTTGACGGCTGCTAGGACGAACGACTGCCATCGCCGCGCGTCTGTAAGGAAAGCACACACGATGGACCAGGTTACCAACGCCGTCAACGATGAACTTATCAGTTCTCTTGATTTCAAGATGCGCACCTCGAACGCGTCCTACGTGATAGCTCGAAAAGACGTACAGTTCTTTCCAAGCAGCCTCAGCACCTTCACGCCCACCAGCAGCAGGGTGGCACGCATCCCTCTGACGACAGGCGGCGACTTTTTGGACCCCGACAGCATCAAGATAGCTTTCCGCTTCGTCAACAACGACGCCACGAACGACTTCAACCCCATCATGGGGCACCCAGCATG